TGTTGAGCATCACTTTCTTTATTCTTGCATATAGAGCTCGGAGTCCTAAATTATTTTGGGTCCAATTTATGAAACATATGTGTTTGTCTTTTGTCTGACCCATTTTAGGCCATGGGTTGAGAATGGATCCAATCTTTATTGGACTATAATTCACGAAGGCTCGTTACTACTTCACTTAAGGAAAATGCTCTTTCCACCCTTGGTGGTGCCTCCCACACCCTTAAAAACCCGAAAATGCTCTAATGCGTCTGAAGATGCATCTCCAGACGCATCTAAAATCACACCAATCTTCGTTTTTCCGAGATTCATCCCAGTTTTAAAAAAATATATGGTTTGGAGATGCATCTCCGTATACTATTTGGGTGTATCCGGAGATGCATCTCCATCCCATGCACCTGTACTCGTTTATGGGGTTTTGTTATTCACACAACTGATTTAAATAACAAGTCATTGATATTTTTGGAGATGCATCTATGAAAATGCCCAACCTGGTTTGATAAAACACCACCTTGCATGAGCTTCTTCTTCATGCTAAAAAAGGAACTCCATTATAAAACGCTTAAAATAATTTCTCTCATTCTAAATCAACTTTTCAACAACAAAACATCATTCTTGTATTTCATCATTTCAAAGGGAGTAAAACAAATTAAAATTGCCTGTAAAGATCATTCTTTTCATCCTAATTCCTTGCATTAATCTTGATTATATGCTGAATAATGGATGTTGAATCTGAATATGCATCTTCAAACGAAGTTAGGTGTAGTCTGGATGTGCATCTTCATATTGTCTTGTTAGTATGAATTTTAACACTATTTTTTGTTATTGGTGGTTATAGATATGATACACCCGAATATGTTTCCCAAAACTATTGTGAGTGTAAATATTAAACCAGATGAAATGAATGATGATGTTCAACCAGATAAAGCGAATGATGATGTTAAACCGAGTGCTCGACCGGTTGTTATCGAGGTAGATGTTTGTGCATAATTTACAAATAAAGAAGTGCTTAATGTTCGTGAACATATGCCATAATGGGTCCGTAGGGAGGCCAAAAAATTATGGTTTGGCATTGTAATTGGAAGATTCGACAATGATTCAGATAGAAGACAAACATTTGTAACACTGATATGCGAAAGAAGTGGCACATACCAACCAACAATTAGGAAGTTGAAATGAGATGACATTGGATCGAGGAAATGTGAGTGTTCGTTTAAATTACATAGACGTTGTATGACGGATGAGACAGAGAAATTTTATGTTATTTTAGGTATACATAATCATGCCTTGCATGAAAAGTTAGCAGGTCATCCCATTGTACACCGCCTTGTGCTGGAGGAGAAGGAACTTGTTTTGGACATGACATAAGCATGGTGGCACTGAATAACATACTCTCATCTTTGAAACGGAAAATCCATCTAAGTGTTTCAAATCTCAAGCAAATATACAACGTGCGTGCTTGAGACAATAAGGCCATAAGAGGACCAAGATCTGAGATGCAATAATTGTTCAAGCTTTTGGATGATGACCACTATGTTTTGAGGTATAGAGTTTGTGAGGATAAAATCACCATTCAAGATATATTTTGGAGGCATCCCAATTTCGTCAAGTTGTTCAACACCTTTCCCTTCATGCTCATAATTGACTCAACATACAAAACAAACAAGTATAGATTTCCACTATTGGAAATTATTGGTGTTACTTCTACAAAGATGACTTACTTAGTCGATTTTGCATTTTTGGAATCCAAATAAGAGGACAATGTTAGATGGATTTTGAAATTTTGCAAGATTATGTTAAAGGACTAAGAAAACATGCCACAATTCATAATCACTGGTCGCGACACCACACTGATGAACTCAGTTGCAATGAAGTTTTCTATATCGTCTACATTACTTTGTAAGTATCACATAACCAAAAGTGTGAGAAGTTGAGTAAAACCTGCGGTTAACACGAAATAAGTCAAATGTGAAGATGGAAAACTTGTCAAACCTAGTGTGGTGGTGGAAAATATAATGGATCCATGGAATTCTATAATAAATTCTTCCACGAAAGAATTATATGCCGACTCTGTTCTAAATTTCAGGTGTGTGTGTGTTATATATCCATATTTGCTGACATACGTTGAGGGAACTATTATGGATTGGGTCAAAGAGAATATTGTTTGTCCATGGATCGATCAGGTTCGACACTTTGTTAATACAACAACTAACATAGTTGAATCTGCATATGCTAGACTGAATAATTGGTTAGGAAACAATAAATGTGGTTTTTGTCGAGATTTAAACGCCGTTGACTAACTTCTCTGAAACCAACATAATGAGATACATACATCTTTTGGTCGGAGCACTACTGTGTTAGAACATCGCTTCAAAGATGTGATCCTTTATTCATAATTGCCTGGCAATATATCTTGTGTGGCTTTGAATTTTATTTTTCACGAAGCCAAGCGAGCGGGTAAAATAGGTTCAGATGGCTCAAAGTGTTGATGTACACTTAGGAAGACTTATGTTCATCCATGTGCTTATTTAATTTCAAAGAAGTTGAAGCTTGAAAAACAAATACGTATGGACGAAGTTTGCACTCACTGGATAAGGCTCCATTTTAATGATGACGGTGTGACGAAGGATGATAAATCAAATATGTTTATCATGATAGAGTGGAAAGTGATCCAAGAGAGTTTCATGAAAGCCGATGACATCATGAAATTGCACATCAAAGAGCAACTTAGGAATATTGTATATCTAGAAACAACAGATTTGAAACCACCGTTAGAACCGTTTAAAATAAAGGGTACCCCTAAAAAGGTAAAACCAACTCAAAGTAACAACTCCATGAGATGATCTCCTTCATACTTTGAACATGTTGACTCACATTTTCTAGATTCTCTAACTTCAAAATCTCAAAAAAGTGTTTTCAAGAGTGCTCGCATTAGCAAACCATCTCCTCTACCTCCGTTATAAAAAATTAAATTAATTGAAGAGATGCTACTTTTTATGCACAAATACATTGAGCAGATTGTAAATGCTAAAAGTGACGACAATTGTGATTTTCAAGTTGTTTCAAATTTGCTCGGTAAAGAAGAGAAGGATCACCAATTAGTCCACCGTTATCTTATACAAGAGATGATGACACATAGAGAATCATACACAAAGCTATACAGGAACAAATAAAATTACGATACAATTCTCAATGCTCTTATTCCTTGTTTTAGTGGCCTGACACCGTTTGACAAATGAATGCACTTCCCAGAAATGATTATGGATAGTCATTTAGTTATGTTTTGCATAATTTTGGGTGGTTTCAGAGATACATCTTCGGACACACCTTCTAATTATTAAAAAATAAAAACAGGGGGTCATCCGGAGATGCATCACTATATAGACCCTTATTTTTTGAAAAAAAAGCGGATTCATATATATATATATATATATATATATATATATATATATATATATATATATATATATATATATATATATATATATATATATATATATATATATATATATATATATATATATATATATATATATATATACATATATATATATATATATATATATATATACATATATATATATATATATATATATATATATATATATATATATATATATATATATATATATATATATATATATATATATATATATATATATATATATATATATATATCCGAAGTGTTTCATTCAGATGTGATCATGTTTGTGAGGACCTTATTGCTCTACAACTTCTATAAATAGGGTATCCCATTCCATTTCCTGTACACAAATTAAAATGACTACATATCTTGCATTTGTGTATTTCAATGGTGCAAAACCCCACTTTAATTTCAGATATGCAAGGATATACTTCTCGTTGATTTGAAAACCTAATTGAATACTCTCTTGTGATATCTAGAAAATTAGAGAGTCGTCAAGCTCGAGTACCGTTCACCCTCGATTGACAACGAAGAAAAGATACAATTCATCATGCTTGAACTGAAGATGAATGATGATTTGAAGGTTATGTGAAATACCTTTTACCGTTACTTAACAAAGGGTCCAATTGAAGTGAATACGACGATTAAAAGATCAATAGAATATATTATAAGAATGTCGCAACGTCCTGAACCGTTTGTTTTTAATGACATGTAGTGTTTATCGACATAATATTTATTTTGATGTTAATTTACGTTGATTTTTCATTCTGCCATTATTTTTGCGTGTTTTTATTTTGAAGTAACAAAACATATTCCTATTTCTATTTTGAATTAAAAGGGATTAGAGAGATGATTTTTAAATCAATCTTCATACATAGATATTTAGATCAAATTTCAATAAAATTAAAGATTTTATACTATTTTCATCTTAGTTGTGTGTGGAAAAGATGCATCTAAATATGCAGATTGAGAAGTTAATGACATTTTAATCTTTTCCAAGGGGAGAAAACTACTAAAAAGATTTGGATCCTCTCATTTTTTTATATATCATGCCATCTCTCATGTTTCTAATCTAACGGTTCAGAATTTATAATAATAATTAAATAACAAAGACAAAAATAACAAAGACAAATTACTTATCCATTTCTCTCTCCTATTAAATGACTTTTTTTATTTAATTATTTATTATAAATTCTAAACCGTTAGATTAAAAACATGAGAGATGACATGATATATAAAAAAAGAGAGGATCCAAATCTCTATTAAAAGTATTTAAATTGAGAAGTTAATGACATTTTAATCTTTTGGAGGTGGGAGAAAACGACTAAAAGTAGAAAGAGCGATTCTCTCACTTAAACCCTTTATATGGATCTTTTTCCATAGACTATAACTATTTCAATAATACGTGTTTCTAAATAATAAAAGAAAGATTCCTTTTCGATCTATAAAAAGTCGATTATTTTGTTTCTAGTCTCGGTGTCCATTTTGTGTGCGTGGTTGTCACTATAAGCATAGCTCGTTGTAAAATCAGCAAAAAATTATCATTTCCAAATCACTGGAAGCGACACGATTACAGTTGATGAAATTCGGTGGCAACATGTATACGGCACTCCGATCATCGAAGCTTCTCTATCGCTCTTCCTCTTCCCATCTTCTCTCCGCTAAGTTCCTCATGCAAACTCCTTTCACTCGCAAGGCACGATATCTCTTTCTCTCTTTTTCGCCCAAATCACCTATTGCGTCTCAAATATTGTTTCATAGACTTGAAAATTTATACGTGTGTGAATTTCGTGTTTTCTTTCTTTGATCGTTAACGTTATAGTTTATCTAGGTCACTATCAATCGCAATTATCTGCAATTTTTCACATTATTCTATTAGATTAGGATTGTGATTTAACTCTAACTGCAATCGCAATCATACTGTATAAAGCTTGCTTAATATTGTACATTTATGTGCATGTTTGGATTGATGGTGAAATTTGGATTTTTGACACAGAAAAACGCAATCCCAATCCAAACATGTATATAACAGTAATTTTTCTTATTCTTTTTGTTTGATCGTGTTCCTGAATCCTGATTCAAAATGAAAAACTTTTTGTTTGTTTGTTTGAAGAGTGAGAAGTTTGGATTGGATCTTGCTGATTTTTGTGTTTGCTATTATTATTAGTGTGAGCCAATTTTATGTGAAAATTTGATATTCATTCATTTGATTTGATATGTATGTTCATATATTCTGCAACTCCAAGGATTGCACAATGCCAATTGGTTTCATCTGTTCATTATTTTCCTCAATAAGGATTGCTACCTAACTACGACGCTGGGACACAAGTGCTATACCATATGAGGGTCCATTCATCATCATTACAGTTATTATTCGGGGATGTTCTTGTAATTTATTTGTGCTTTGGGTTAATGGTCTTTTTTGAATGACAGATGAGCGTAGATGCCCGGAGTATTGCTTCCCAGCTTAACAGTTCTGGGCTGTTGAGAACCCAGGGCCTCATTGGAGGGAAATGGAGGGATGCTTATGATGGGAAAACCACAAAGGTGTGTCACACAGCTGCTGTTATTTTTCACTTTTTCAACTGGTTTTTGCAAAGTTTAAAGACAGATGGGGAAGGGGGGTTTGCTGATTCCTTTTCAATTAATACTGCTGATGGTCATAGTTTGTTGCTGCTGCTTATTTTTCTCTTGTTTTATTGCTATAAGTTCCATGGTAGTGCTATTGGTAAGAAATAATAATCTGATGTCTTCAATGGTATTGTAGGTATATAATCCAGCAACTGGTGAATCTATTGCAGATGTAGCATGCATGGGTGGAAGGGAAACAAATGATGCAATTTCCTCTGCTTTTGATGCTTTTAAATGTACACAAATTCACATTTTCATGCTATAATATCATGTATTATGGACTATAAACGAAATGGGAGAGGATTAAGATATACTATCATAGATAACTTGATGTATATGCATATGTTTTTGCATAATCAAATAGGTTTACAACTTTGAAAGTGAATATAGATGAAGTTTCAGCTTATAATACTTCAATGCTACAGTCAACAGAGTATTACCCTAGTTTTATTGATTTTAGCATGTTAATTATGCCCTTTGCTTATTACCATTTGTTGATGGATTTGATGTTCCATTGATTGTAGAATTATGTTCATACGCATTATTGTTACTTATAGCAAATGATGAAATAACTAAAAAACTCTGTTGTTGGTATATTCATAATACTATGATAACTATGATTTCCTCTGTGTAGCATGGAGTAAAATCACTGCTGCTGAGCGAAGCAAATATCTGAGGAAATGGTAAAGTTGTTGTCGACTCATTTCATGAACAACCTGCTTTGATGAAAATATCTGACTTACCTGCTGTCTAGAATTTGTTTTAAGCTTTGGGTATCAGAAAATCACACAATATATCCAAATAATTTGGGACTTCTGCTTAGGAAGACTGGAGCCATCATAATTAAATATTCATTCAGCATCTTTATGGGAGAGTTTTTGGAAATATTACAGATATGTACAGAAAATTTATAGGATAAGAAATAAGTTCCTAAAATTAGGTCTATACAGATTAATACACTTGTAGCATATGATAAAATAATAATTACAATATGTCAGTCTCAAACATATCCACATCCTAGGTTAATTGGTTAACTAACAATAATTTTCCGACAAGAAACTGATGGTGCTGTCCAGTCATAACCTTGGTTAAGAAATCAACCCCTTGAAGAGAAGTAGAATTGTGAAAAGAGAGATACATCAGTTGGCTAAGGCTTCTCTGTTATAATGATAGTCCACCTCTGTATGTTTGCTATGCTCATGAAATATATATAGGATTTGCCACAATTTGTATGACCTGTGTATTATCAAACATTAAGAGAAGTAGTGTCCAATGGTAAAAGAGTAATTTTCTCTTAATTTCTCTTTAGGTATGATTTACTTATGCAACATCAAGAAAAGTTAGCACAACTTATTACCTTGGAGCAAGGAAAGCCTCTTAAAGAGTCTATGGGTGAGGTACAGGGTGGTTGAATATTTCTTATTTAGTACTTTTCCAATTTCATTTGTGTAAAATAGTGAATAGTTATGGAATGCTCGAGTGAAATTCCACTCGATACACACTAGAAATTAAATACAATATGAGAGTTACAAGGACATTAAAATTTAAATGTAGTTTATAGTTCCTAAGTCTTAGAAGTTGAGAGAAGAGAGAAAGTGAGAGAGAACTGTGGTATTGCATTTATGTTTTCAATCTGAGTAGTATCTCCTATTTATATCACAATTAGTTAGATACAAAGGCTAAGTAACTCTTAACAGACTATAGCTGACAACAACTGTGATAATAGCTGGCTCCCCAAATTATATTGAGTTGTCTAATACAGCTCTAACATTCCCCTTGCAAGTGGAGGGTGTCTTGACCAAACTGAGTTTGTCAAACACACAGCTTGCCACAAAGAATGCAAAATCTAGCAGTAGAAAGTGGTTTAGTTAGGGTATCTTCCCACTGTTCATGAGCAGGAACATGTGGAACAATGAGATTGTTGCTAAGTACTTTCTCTCTCACAAAGAAGATATAGAGTACCATATGTTTTGTACGATTGTACATAGTAGGATTATGTGCTAGTGAAATAGTACTTAGATATCACAAAATCTGAGGTGTGTTGAACCTGCAACCCAGTTCTAATAGGAGAGATTGAAGCCATACTATCTTTGCGGAGATATTTGGCAAGCTTTTGTACTCAGTTTCTGCACTGTAGTGAGCTACTAGTGTTTGTTTCTTGAACCACCACAAAACAATATCAAGGCCTAAGTAAATACATGCCCCTGATGTAGATCTCCTGTCATCAGGGTCTGAAGCCCAGCGAGCATCACAAAATCCAATTAAGGATAGTGGTTGATGAATATGAGCAGCTTGCAATAGTAAACCATGATGAAAAGTGCTTTCCAAATATCTAAGTATTCTTTTGGCAACCTTCCAACATTCCTATGAGGGATTAGATATGAATTGACACACTTTGTTTACAGTGCAGAAATGCTAACAATTGAAATGCTAACAATTGAATGGTATCTCTGGCCTTGGTAAAGTTGCATACTGAAATGCTAACAATTGACCTAAACAGTGAAGGATCCTCAACTGGAACATAACCCACTTTAGATAATTTAAAGCTAGATACCATAGGGGTAGGCATTTCCTTAGCATAATCCATATTGACTCTTGAAGTGAGATCTCTAATATACTTAGATTGAGAGAGCAGTAAAAAAGAGCCATAGGACAAATGAGAGACCTCAATGCCTAGAAAATAATCAAGTGTTCCAAGCTGTTTCAAGGAAAACTTAGTGTTGAGTTTGGAAATGAGTTGCTGAATGCGTGATAGAGAACTCCCTGTGAAGATTATGTCATCGCATACACTAGAACCATGACATTAAGGGACCCAGATTTAAGCATAAACAAGCTAGGACCACATTTGTTGGCTGCATAACAAAAGCATATGAGTGTAGTTTTGAGACTTTTCAAACCAAGCCGTGGGTGCTTGTTTGAGGCCACATAGGACCTTATTAAGCTTGCAAACAGAAGTTTGAAGTTTTGTCTCAAAATTCAAGACCATGGGTTGCTGCATGTACACTTCTTCCTCCAAAATTCTGTTTAAAATGGCATTTTTAACATTTATCTGTTGAATGGGCCAGTTATTTGTTACAATAATAGTGAGGACAATACGCACAGTAACAGGTTTGACTATTGGTGAAAAGGTCCAAGTAAAGTCATAATCTGCTCGTTGATGAAAGCCCTTGGCAGAAGACGTGCTTTGTACTTGTTAACAGGGCCATAAGGGTTTTCTTTGACCCAAAACACCCATTTGCATCCAATTGGGTCACGATGAGAGGGAGGTGCAACCAGTGTCCGTGTGTTACCAAATTTGGCTCTAGTAGCCATAAATAATGAGTATTTTGAGGATGAATGATGGGTGGAGGTGCAGAGGGGATGTGCAGAGAGGCAGGAACATGAGTATGAGATAAGCAAGAACTAGATGAAGTTGTACTAGATGGGTTAGAGCTAGGTGAAGTTTGTGATGCTAGCTGGCTAGCCTAACATATTGAGTTGTCTAATATAATTCTAACACTAAGCACATGAATGTGATTTACTAGGCATTTAATTAGCTATTAATCTCCTGAACATATTCCTCCAATGTATTTTATAATTCCAACCATTTGCATGCTTTTTCCAAAGTTAGATTTATGTCATTAGTACTACTTGCAGATAAGTTACGGTGCTGCCTTTATTGAGTTTGCATCAGAGGAGGCAAAGCGTATATATGGGGATATAATTCCTGCACCTATAACGGATCGGCGGTTATTTGTTTTAAAGCAGGTAAGTTTCAAGGTTTATTTCGTGTCTTAAATTTCATATTTTATTAGGCAATTTCCTAGGAAAACTTTGTACTATGCTACATCAGTTCATTTAAATATATATATTTTTTATGGGATTTAAGTTGTGCATGATATTTAGCATTACAAATCATGTCAAAACATTAGGGTTACATTGTTACGGAATCCTAGTATGAGCCAACAAAACATTGTTATGAGCCAACAAAACATTGTTATTAAGTATAACTGACCTTGTTTTGATTTAAAACTTACTTTTAAGTTGAGGTATAGAAAAGATCCTAAAAAGTTAGGGCAATTTTTTTTGGTTTTTACTTTAAAGCTAAAAGTTGTTTGGTAATTTTGTTTTAATGAAAGCTTTGATTTTATTTAAAATTATGATTATGAGTTTGTTAGTTCAATTCTATTGAGCAAAATTTATTGCGCAAATATAGTTTAAATACAATGGTATTAATATTAAAGAAAGTGGTTTACTTATTTCATAAAAACGGCTTTAATTTAAAGTTATCATAAAATTGCAAGTTTAGTTTGATTTTTTATTGCACAAATAAAAATTCATATAAAATAGTAAATAAAAAGATTTTAAAGTTAGTTTTAGTTATCATAAGGGGTATATAATTAGAAAATTTTATATCAGTAATGGAGTTTTAGACAACAATAAAAAAAAAGTTCTTCAAAGAAAGTTCAGGAATAACATAAATTTTATGAAAAGATTTTACTAAATAATTCATGAGTGATAATATTTTGTTTGTTAGTATACAAACAAAAAGTCATTTGTAGAATATATAAATGGGAAATTTAAGAAAATATAATATTTACTAATTTGATGTTTTATACTGATTAATAATCACACTTTATATACACTAGAATGCTTTCATGAATGATCAATTGCTTTTACTAGTGAAATTTGATGGTCCAACAGTATGAAATGAAGACAACACACAGGGAGTCTTTTGGATCACTGTTCTTGATTTAAGGACAATGGACTTATGTTGGAAGGAGAATTAGAAAGACAATTAGAACAAAACAAGGAGTGAAGATTCTAATGGGACGTCTATTAAATTAAAGCCCACAATATTTTTGTTAAAGCGGGAGGGGCTTATTTAAAAGCTATTTTTTTGGGTTTTTTCTTGCCATCCAAAATAAGCTCCTTATTATTTTAAGATGTTCGTATAGTAATTGTTTGGTCTAGCTTCTCCTTTTAAGCCTAAAAGAAGCCAAAAACACGATAGGCCAAACATACATTAAGACCTTCATTTGAAAACACTTTTCCAAATGCAATCAAAATGAAACTATGATTGAGTAATTTTTTATTTATTTTTGCATATCTTGGATGGGTTGGCTAAAGATATGGTTTATCATAGGTATGAATTATCGTATAGCATTATGATGCTGTTTGGTGAATGTGCAGCCCCATCTAGTGGGATAATGCGGGATAAGGCTGGGTGATTATTGTTGAAATATAGCTAATAGTTGAAGCTTAAACTTAGCATTGTCTGAGTAGTACTGAGTTTTTTTAATTGTTGGTCTCGTGTCAGAATCCAAGGATGCATTTTCTTCAACAAATGGAAAGTATGTTTCTGTTTTATTAAACGAAAATGGGATTAGATTCTAGCAAACTGTAGCTATATATTTGTGCATTGAGTAATTTGTCTTGACTTTCAATAGTCTGTTTCATAAATCATGATATATGACTACATGATTCTTTCTTTCATCTTTTTGGGGTTTGCAGCCTGTAGGGGTTGTAGGTGCAATTGCACCATGGAACTTTCCCCTTGCTATGATTACCCGAAAGGTATGTTTAGTTTCAGGTCTTCACTTTCCAGATTTTATCCATTTTCACCTTATAATGTTTTAGGAGCAAGTGAATACCGGTTATTTCAAAATATATGTTTTTTCTTACATTAGGTTGGTCCAGCCCTTGCATGTGGGTGTACAGTGGTCATAAAGCCCTCTGAACTTACGCCTCTGACTGCTTTAGCTGCAGCAGAACTTTCTATTCAAGCTGGAATACCTGCGGTAGTTTCTTAAATTTGGCATTTTGGTTATATGAGCATTGACAAACATGACACTCACACGTAGACAGCTGTAATACTTTAAGAAAATGGAAGTCATTGAGTATAATCACACATGTTATGTCGAGTTGGACATGGAACACACCTTCAATATGTAGTGTTGGCGCTTCGTTATAATTTTCTGTTATGATGATTGTTAATTTAGTAATTATATTTATTTTAAATTGCCATGGAAGCTTGAAAATAGTACATCAGGAGCTTAATTGGTAATTTAAATTGCCATATTTTGGCATCTAGTATGCTATGCCTTCATGTCAAAACTTCAATACTGGGCCATACTGTAATATTGTGGCTCCATTTCAAATACATAAGTCTTTGTAGTTTATGGTTGTAGAATGTATTTAACGTTCATGGAGCATGCATAACGTAAATCTGAAGTAGATCTGTAGAAGAGAAATACTGAGTTGGCTTCTTTGGACTAGTTTTTTCAAATATATTGCATAAATCTTACAGAAACTTTGTACCTGACTGAAGTCTTTTCACACCTCTACATGTTTCCAGATCAATTAAGTTGTTGTGACACTATTTTATTTCACTTATTTTTAGCATCAGAACTCATTTAGAAATGCAGATATTGATTTTATTCCGTTAGGGATTTGCAAACTATTTCTAAATTTTATCAATTCTACTATTCTCTAAATTTTATTTCAGTTATTGTTATAATTATTCCATTTTAACTATTAAAAAAAAACAGTCGCATTCTAATAGCATTTGTAAATAATATCTTGTAGAAAATCTGGGATGTTACATTTTCCCTGTTTTTTCTTCTTTACTATATAAATATAGACTTCTTCCCCTCTTCCTACCCATTTTTATGATTTTAACTGTTGTGGTATTTATTGTTTAATGATATAGGGTGTTGTGAATGTGGTTATGGGAAATGCTCCCGATATTGGAGACGCCTTGCTAGCAAGTCAACAGGTTCTATCACAATATGATTTTACAAATCAATTACCCTGTATATGTAATTGAACATATAAGAAAGAATTATCACATTCTTTAGGTTAGGAAGATTACATTCACTGGCTCAACGGCTGTTGGAAAGAAATTGATGGCAGGTTCTGCCGAGACGGTTAAAAAAGTATGATTAGATGTTTTTATTAATCATAATTAGTATTTGTTTTCCCTCATTATTTCTTTGTAGATTCTCATAGTTACTATAAATTGCATAGGCTGGTTTTCTCACAAATGTAGATCTAGGCATCATTACATTCAAATGGACTTTTAGCCCTTATACGTGTTTTTAAATTTCTAGGTATCTCTGGAACTTGGTGGCAATGCGCCTTGCATAGTTTTTGATGATGCTGACCTGGATGTTGCAGTGAAAGGAACAGTAAGTAATGAAAACACATGTTGACTGTAATGATGTATATTGTTTTAGATGTTATTTTAATGGATGAGCATTTGCAGTGTCCTTGAACTTTTGATGATGACTCTAACAGTAGTGGATAATTCTCGTATTCTCAATGTGGCCTGAAAATGATCAAATGAAAACCATATTAACCCATCTGATTAATACAATGCTGGATAGTGGATTAGGGTATTATTTTCTATCTGGAAATGAGATATCTACTTGCAATTTTAAAAGTGGATGTACTGCTGGTTCTAAGCACGTCAGTTTCAAAATTAAACTCAGCTGCTGGTTTTGTCAGGGGTACAAGTAGCTAAATACATTTCTTGTCACTCTTAAGTCTTCTCATCCATTTTTTTTTCTGCTCAGGGATATTTGTTTATCTTTAATTGATTTAAATATGTATTTAATGAATCCCTACAATTATTATTATTATTTTTTTTTGCCTTTAGACACTTTAATTTTTTTTTCTTTTGGTTCTTGTTGTTTTGTTTTCTGCAAAATTTGTTTTAGAACTGGTTTCTGTAATATGTAGAGTATTTGATTTTAGTTCCTCCAATATAGCTGCATAAGGACTAAAAGTACATACTGCACATATATTACATGGATTAATGCCAACATAAACAAATTTTGCAGAGACTAAAAAAACAAGGATCAATCAGCCCAGCTCTGAAGTACATACTTTTTGACTAGTTAGAGATTATGGATATCTTCTGGTAGCCTTATCTGCACTTGCAGGTTCAATTGTCGAAGGCCCACTTAGAGTCACCCAAAGATAGAAATTAGAGAATGGGGAGAGTTAGTTATGAGATAGAGAAAGAGAGTTGAGTTTGTTATAGAGGGTGGTGGGTAGAATAGTGGGGATATTGGAGAATCATTGAGTTGGTTATGGGCAAAAAGCATTTTGTTTATCTGAAAGAGCCTAGCTCTGGGCAGTAGGAGTACTAATTCCTCTGTAGTTTCTACATTTTAGTTATATTATACACTAGCTCATTATTCAATTGTTCTTTCTTCAAATAATTTGTACTGCTAACTTTGCGTTCCCGTCATCTTCCCTTGTATTTTCTCTGGCTAGTTGTAAACTACTGAAGTCTAGTATATGAATATTTCTTTAGCTTCAAATTCTAATCTATCTTGCTGAGGGGAAGTTTTTATATCAAAGAATATTTTGGTAGCCTTTTGCTATTTTTTTCTTTGCAATTTGTAAAATTGATGATTCTCTTGGGTCTTCTGTTTTCGACTAGTAATAATAAATTCCTGCGTGCAGCTTGCAGCAAAGTTTCGTAATAGCGGACAAACATGTGTTTGTGCAAATAGAATTCTTGTGCAAGAAGGTTAGATAAACGAGATATCGAACTATTATAATACATTTTTCTGATTTGCCATCCTTAGTTTTGTTAGACTGTAATGTGTTAATGATTCCCTACATTTATTGCTCCAAGTTCCTTCTCCTAACTGCTGTAGGATGTGGGAATGTGTCACAACACATACTAGCTGGTTTATGTAATGTGTTTTATCAGATAACATTATAAATCTTCAGGATTTTTGGTTATTATTTTGTAGCCTGTATTACCCAATCTTAATGATTGCAATTTCAGCAAGTGGTTGCTTATTTAATTGTCACATAGTTTTAACATGGAATTTAGAATTGTTTTGAAATAAACAAAAACAAAAACAAATGCAAACAAGAGAAAGATAAAGAATGGAGGGAAATTGTACCAACATTCTTATAAGACATTTACCAACATCTTATAAGAGATTTTCTTTAATTAGTAGTGTCAATGTACTTCGATTATTTGCCAGCTTCTATCTCACTCCAATTCAATGTCCATTTAGATACATTAGTTGTTTCAGTTTTATAAGTCATTTGCATTTTATTGTTTAACCAAGTTTCTGTGAAGGTATATATGACAAGTTTGCAAATGCATTGCTTGATGCTGTTCAGAGTATGAAAGTTGGAGATGGTTTTAATGAAGGTGTAGTTCAGGTAGTTAGCTTTTTAAATTCGATAATCCATTTTCATCCATTTTTTATTTTTACCAACAATGGAATTGCTTACGTCGCTTCTCCATATTTCCTTCTCAGTGGGTGATTTTCACTAATTTTTTAGAGTACTTTTCAAAGTGATATTTCCTTTTGAATATTCCCGTAGCATTCTGTTTCTATTATCACTATTTTTTTATCTCCCAAATTTGATAGAAAATCTGAATTAAATGAGACCATCCTGTAAATCCATTTAATATTCGTCTCTAATCAGGGCCCTCTGATAAATGAAGCTGCTGTCAAAAAGGTTTGTGTTCTCTTAGTATTTGATTTTTCATATGCACTGTTGCAGCATTGCAGGGTGTCTCTTTCAACTCATGGGAATTTGTGATTTTGCTTTCAGGTTGACTCCATGATTCATGATGCTACATCAAAGGTTTGTCGTCTTTGCTATCTGCCCTCTGATTTTTCACTTCATCCCCCAGTTATCTCAAATTCTACACGATGAAGCTAATAGTTAATAAAAATTGTTTCTTTCTACCATACCATCTATCTGAGATTCCCTTGGAGATTCCCTTAGTGCAACTTATTTATCCAAATGAAGTGTTTAATCCTTGCACTGGAATGGAGATGTTAACTCTAAAGAGAAATTCTAGGTTTCTTCGGCATTTTTGTGATGATTATTTTGATACTGTAGTTATAGTTGATCAACATCTGAGATGATTGCGCCTGATGAGGTTGGTTACATTGGTCAAACAATGCAAATGTGTTTTTAATGATTTCTCCCAAATATTTCTTTGTTCTATATCTTGGATGTATACTTGAGCAGAAAAACAAATTTTTTTTACAAGTTGTGTCTGCTTAAATGAATATATGTCATAATTTTCTCTTTAGAAAGTATAGCGAGATGGATAGGCAAGTCAAATAACAAAAGGTAATAGTTCTGATGATTCAATTGCTTTTGTTCAAAGGGGGCAAAAGTTATTCTTGGGGGTAAAAGGCATAGCCTTGGATCAACTTTTTATGAACCAACAATCATCACTGATGTCAACAATGAGATGCGTATATCAAGGTAAACCCTTGACAATGTTATCTAGTGTTTCTGGCTTTTATATGACGTTATATTTTTTAGTTTTGATTTGCAACTTTCATATGATATTCTAATTAATTTCTAGACTAACTGATGCTGACATATCGCAACCATACCTAACAGCTTGTGTAATACTTGCCTCCTAAGTTAGAATCTGTTTCTACACATTTCATACTTCGTGCTCTTGCATTATATGAGTAAATTTAAGCTTACAATTTCTTAGATAGTCAGCAATAGTATTTAACATGATTGGTATTGAAAAATGAAAGGGTGGTAACAGGTTTGCATATACTTGTGAACGTTGTTTCCTGTGGTTTCTTCATTCTAATTGTACTAAATAGAAAAGTTGGTCATTATTAGAGTTATATCTTAGGATATGAAAAATCAGCACTATAGAATAATTAAGGCCAGCCTTAATTTAATAGAATAAGAAAAATCATCCTTAAATGTAGAGCTTGAATGATTCAACTCTTGAATGTTCAACTCCTCTTTTATAAATAGAGCATCATGCTCCATTCCAATTCAATATAATAATAGAATCAGTTTCTCTCTTTTCTCTTTTAGCTTTCTCTCTCATATCTCATTTTAATAGTCATAAATAACTTTTGAGGCCATTGTAAATCAGATTATTAGAATTATTAGAATCATGTACTGGTAGTGGTGGTAGTCAAATCCATATTATAAATTATTATGATCATATAAGAATAATCATGTTGAAAAGTTATAGAGAGATAGAGGAAGGTCTTGGAAAAGAATAACAAAGATACACGGAGATAGGGAGACTGTAAAATGGCTGTAGGATGAAAAGAATACGTGTCAATTTCAATTACTTCCAACTAAACACTTGAGAGATTATAACAGCATATTCTGTCACTATCATTCTTGCATTCCTCACTCATCAATTGATCGCCATTGAATTTTGTGTAAGCACTTCCATTATGGCTTTCTAAATTATGATATATAAGGTTGGTTTGGTGGTTTGGGTGGGGGAGTTAAGGAGGGAGAGGGTTCGATTCTATATATATGCTAAAATTTTCCATTAAGAAAAACTAGATAGATGAATTGTGTTTTACTATCGTAAACTGTCTGTAATGAGGATATAGATTTGTTGTTGTATGCACAAGGCTAGTCTCCACGAAGTTCAAACTGCAGTTAAAGTCTTAATGTAAAACTTATCTTTCTAAAAAGAGGTAGGGTTCACCTGACTTGGTGATATGAGATTTTAATCTAATATAGCCTTACAGTGCTGCGATGCGCAATGCCTATATTCTACATTTGCTGAAAATTTGATTTGGTTTCTATTAATCAGATAGAGCTCTATTGTTAGTTTTTTTATGGACTTAGTTTCACGACTCACCTATTTGTCTTACTCTAGAGAGGAAGCATTTGGACCTGTTGCACCCCTTTTGAGATTCAAAACTGAAGAGGATGCCATCAAAATTGCTAACGACACTAATGCAGGTAGTTCTTGCATCTCTATTTTCAAATGTGGTTATTTGGAAGACGGAACTGCCATGTCTAATCACCCTTTGTTTAATGTTTTCACATATTTATAACTACGGAACAATACATACGAAGGCTTGGGTTCATACGTATTTACAAACAGTATCCAACGATCATGGCGGGTGGCTGAAGCTCTTGAGTATGGACTTGTAGGTATTAATGAAGGAGTAATTTCAACAGAGGTGAGTCTCATTCCTTGTTTAATGAGATTAAGAAGAAATGAGATGTTTTGTTATTGGATTTACTTATGTGTTTGTGATGATGTAGGTGGCTCCATTTGGTGGAGTTAAACAGTCGGGTCTCGGAAGAGAAGGTTCCAAATATGGGATGGATGAATATTTGGAGGTAAGAAAAAATTTAAAGTGTTCATTTCTGTGAACTTTTCACCCTTTTGCCACCTTTTTGAATACAAAATACTAAATACCCATTATTTTTAAAATAAATACCAAATTACCATGTTTTAAAAAAAAAAAAATTTTTGTTATAAGGGTGCCGCCCATTCAATGGGCGGCAATGTGTAAAAGAAAAGTCTTCCGCCCATTCAATAGGCGGCACTGTGTAATTCGTAATTTTTTATTTTTTTATATATTAATAATATATTAATATTAATATATTTTCAATAAATATATTTTTAATTAATAATTAATATAAATAATATATATAAATTAAAAAAATGTTAATTGTTAATTTAATTTTTTATATTAATATATGTTAATTATTAATATGTATTATATTAATTATAATTAAAAATATATTTATTAAAAATATATCAATTAACATATATTAATTATTAATATTAATTATATAAAAATAAAAAAATTGATTTTTTTACACACTGCCGCCCATTGAATGGGCGGCACCTTTATAATAAAAATGAACTTTTTTGAAAGTGTGGCAGTTTGGCATTTACTTTGAAATGCACGGCTATTTGGTACTTTATGTCCAAAAAGAGGGCAAGCCAGTAAAAAATTCCATTTCTGTTGTTCCTCCCCACCTTTATTTTATAATAAAACAAAACTGGTGCATAGTCCATAATCATCTGTCCTTGAAGTTTGTAAAAGTCATTTTGATATTGGCTTAATGGGTCACTAGCGTCCAGACGGGCACGGTGCCCGTTTGTTTGCTTTTATTAATGCATAGATGAGTCAAAATATAAAACGGTATTTTTTGTATATTTATTTTATATTTTAATTAAATTATTTATAAAATAATAAAAAAATAGTAGAATAAAAGAGATATGCAAACCACCCTATAGAGGTTAATAAAAGAGAAGTTGAGATTTAATTAAAAAACTAAAAAGGTTATAATTCGGAAGGAAAAAAGGCTACACCAAAAACAAGTTTTGTCTTTATATATAGTTATAAAAGAAGAGAGAATATATATATCGGTAATTTTGGGAGTGTTAATGCAGAGTGGATTGTGTTGATTAGTTGAAGTTGCAAGATATTTTCAGTGATTTGGGTCAATGGATATGTGCTAATACTTTTTATATGAAATGATACTGGTTCTCCCTAGGATGTTCACCTGATGAAGTTCATAACTGTATATTTATTCAACTATTTCATCTATAGAATTGTGGAGGGTTAGAAGATTCGATATCTTGCTTTGTTCAATGCAAGGAGATGAACAACTGTGTATTATAGCAGAATGATGTTAAGTGTTCACAAAGTATCAAAAGCTCTTAAATAGTTCACAGATCTTATAGTCTTCAATTTTTCACTTTTGCAGATCAAGTATGTCTGCTTGGGAAACATGAACAAAGATTGAAGTATGAGGCGATGTCAAGGTTATAGAGTATTCAGCTGCTGATTGATGTTTCGGACCTTGGAATGTGGGGCAGCCTTGTGTTTATCAATTGCATTTTATTTAGTCTTTATAATTCAAAATTCTGGTAATTTAGTTTCTCAAAGTTTTCCCTGTTTCATTTTCTTGTCTTCAGTTTTTACATTTAGTGTAAATTTTATCAAGAGGATAAGAGTCTAAGATGAAATAATAGAATATTTTTAATTAATATTTCAATTTTTTCGTTAAGAACATAAAAAAATGACTCTTAAATTGAAAGAAGAAAACTATAAGTTATACCTTCAAATTTTACGTAGAATTTGCAAAAATATATAAAATAATAAAGCAAATATACTGTCTAGATCTTTTAAGTTATTTTTAAATAACAAGTTAGTATTTTTAAGTTTTTTTTTTTTTAACAATTGAGTCCTTTATGTTAAGAAACGTTTGCATTGTTAACTTAAATTGAAAGGAGAAAACTATAAGTTATACCTTCAAATTTTACGTAGAATTTGCAAAAATATATAAAATAATAAAGCAAATATACTGTCTAGATCTTTTAAGTTATTTTTAAATAACAAGTTAGTATTTTTAAGTTTTTTTTTTTAACAATTGAGTCCTTTATGTTAAGAAACGTTTGCATTGTTAACTTTTTAAAGATTCACCGTTCTAAAAAAGTTTATGTGACCGTTAACGGTGTTGACGTGTCATGGGCGGTTGTTGAATTGACCGTTAACGGTGTTGACGTGTCATGGGCGGTTGTTGAATTGACATCTCTCTCCTTTCTTAGATTTTTGAAAAGCAAAACCCTAAATTTCTAAATCACAAATCACATACTACATACTTTGAACTTTAAATCTCAATAGTCTATCAATGGTCTTGTATGGTAGCAGTGGACAAAATCGAATATGTTTGAATGCTAATACATTCCTATAGAGTGCATCTCAAACTGAAATCGAACTGACATGTTTGTGTGGAGTTAAAGTAGTGTTGAGAGCAATTAAGAAGAAAGGAAGACATTTGGAAAAGTTATTTTGGAGATGCAGATACTGTGGTACTTCTGCTATTAAACATTGTTGGTTTTGAATTTGATTTATATAGATGTTATTAGTTTTTGTTTATGGTTGTGTTAATGTTAACAAAGTGAAGATGAAAATGTCGGTTGCAACTTTTTTGCGTGGTATGAAAACCATTACATTGATGAAGTCAAACAAGAGATACAACTCTTACTAATTTTTAAATGTTCTGACTGTGATGACAAAGATGTTAAAATCAAGTTGCTTAGAAGTTTGATTGATAAGGATGAGAAATACACTAAGGAGATCAAGGAGAACTTGTTGAAGATGTTGAATATGCTAGGCTATGTCACTATGTTGTTTGTTTTGACCTTTGCAGTGTTGTGTCTATTTTGGTTTAAAAATGAAAATCATTGTTAATTATCATTGTAAGTCATGAGTTGTGGTTGTTTCATGTAGAAATTCTTGATAATAGTTTGTTAAACTATTATGTGCTGCAATTATTGACATTGGTTAATGAAACAATTATGTGTTGCAATTCTACAATTCTATACCACAATTATATTATAATTTGTAGACCAGTTAAAATGAGTCTTAAGAATTTGTTTTATAATTTTTCAATTCTATAACACATCTATCACAGTTATGTTATAATTTGTACACCAGACAAATTAGAAGGATCTGTTTGTTACATTTTAAAAACATATGAGACTAAGTGTTACCAATTAAAAATATTATGGGCGTGATTGTTACCAATTAAAAAAATGAATGACCTGTTTGTTACATTTTAAAATATATCAGACATGTTATTTTACACAATTGTGAACCTCAAACAAATTTGAAACTTAAACATTTATGAAACTCAACCTTAAACAATAATTAATATTCTGAACCTTAAACAATTATAGGACATAATATCAAGCATTACATTGTTATAATGTTAAAAATAAAAACATATGTCAATATATCAGATCCCAAAATATTACATGAGATTGTTATGGATCAAACAGATCCCAAAATATTACATGAGATTATTTAATAACTTAATAGAACATAACATTCAACAAAGTTAAACAGATATCTAAAAAGACAATCTATTTGGTCTTTCTCCTAATAGTCAACTTTGGTCTCATTGTTGTTGGTGGCTGAAATAATGTTGTATCAGTCTGTCTTCCTCTTCTCATAGCAAGCAACAGTGACACTGAGATGGACTGTCATGTCTAGATTCTGTAAGATGATGTTGACAATCTAGTTTGAACTCTTTGGGTTAGTTGAGATTGCACAGTTGGGACTGGAGTGGTTGTTTGGAATTGTCTAGTATGAACTCTTTGGGTTGATTGGGATTGGACAATTTGTACTTGATGAATTGTTTGGGATTTCCTAGTTTGAACTCTTTGGGTTGGTTGGGATTGGACAGTTGGGACTGAAGTTGTTGTTTGGGATTGGACATTTTGAGATTGGACAGTTTGTGATTGGTTAGTTTGGACACTTGTTGTAGTTTGGGCCTGTTTTGGTTTTGCAGGACATGGTGCTTTGTTGTGTCCATAAATACCACACATTGAACATTTGTTTGGCAGCCCCTTTGTTGTGGTGAGAATCGAATATCAAGCTATTGAATTAACTTGAATCACAAATCATGAAGTTCACCACCGACCTTTGATTTATCCAAAGGAAAGGGTAAAAATCGAAGAAAACCTTAAGTGCGCTATGCAACAGCAAAACTAAGAGAATCTAAGATTCGGGGGTTGGTTATACCTAAGGAATGTGTTAGAATCCTAATTATCTGTAGTACTCTACACGAATCTCTTGTTAGTATCCCAATTAAGAATATCCTGATAACGTTGACATTGACGAAGTTGTCAATGTTGGGAAAGAGGAATAATCTATAGATGAGTAGAATAAAGATAACCTCGAAAGCAACCATGTTTTCTATAATGGCAAAGTATTGGGCTCTTTCCATAAAAAACTTAGATGGTAGACCTTGAATTCCTCCCTTGGTGGTCATGTGAGCTTTGATATCTGACACCTCAAAAGAGGTAGCTTTTGTAATGGTCTAATCTTTGAGAATCTCTTCCAAGCCAGAGAATGAGTCTTGATCAGAAATAGGTAAATCAATCAACTGAGAGTACTCTTCCAATGTTGGTGTGTGATGATAATTTGAAAACGTGAAACTAAACCAATGTAGACAAAACTCCTTCCAACATGTTGAATTTTAAAAGGGACAAAAGCCCTCCATACTTAGCTTTGAAAGCTTTATGATTAACAATCAACCTTGCCAATCTTCTTAGGTCTTCTAGTTTTGAACTTCTGAGTTTTTCTTCTACCAAAATCCATAACACAATTTCTAATATTTGCAACAACCTTTTTTAGTTCTTTTGAAAATTTTGAAAAATTTTAAAATTTTTTGGCGAATGCATGAATGCATGTATGCACAAACACAGATATTTACAGACATGGGTTTAAGGGTTTATCGTCACGAGTATGGAGTCATGGATCTACCCATCCCAAAGGTATGTACTAGGGGTTTATTTTGCACCTGTAGAATGGGTTCTAACAAGGTTTCCAAAATTACTGACTCGTCTTTAGGATATTACCAGCAAAACGATTGACTCATGAGAGCTGTAATATCCTCAAGATGAATCTCATTCGAGTGTAGTATCGCGTGTCAACTATTCCTGATAGTCACCGCACTCCATCCTAAAATGGCCAAATGGGTAAAAGGTTACTAAAGTACTCAACTTCTTAGGTTTCCAATGGAAAAAATAATGTATTCACGACTTGCTCGCTCAACATCAGTAATTTCAAGAGGGTACCTCCACTGAGCTGGTAGATTTTTAAGTTAGCTTATTTGAGACTCACTCCCTATAAGCCTCCTTGATTATACCACCTCCTATCTTAAAATATGTTCTCAAGTCCAAGTTCGGACTTTTCCTTCCCACATGTGTATTAATCACATTCCCAAAACAAATGCATTTAAACAGATATGGCAAGTAAACAAATAATATGAAGAATGAAATGATATTAACAGTAATAGTAAAAAAGGTACAAAATAGGCTTGATCTTCTTAGAGGACATGCATCCCCAGTGAAGTTGTCATTTTTCTATGGACCGATTTCCGTGACCCCACCAATCCTGAGATGGTGAAATCCTCGTGAACCATGCTTGTGCCACTTTCAAATTTCAAGTTTTTTTCTTATGATGCTTAAAAGGAAGGGGAAGGAATCTAAACTAACCCTGCATGCAAATATTTTCCCTACAAATGCAAAGAGATCTGGAATCGGAGGTCGGTTATACTAAGAAAAGATATTAACACCCTAAGTATCTATAGTACTCTATAGGAACCTTTTGTACATTTTTTTACTATTAGTTATATTATATACTTAAGTTGCTTACTGTTGATTGGGAAAGTTTTAACCTATGGGTGAGAATGAGAATATGAGATGTTTTAGGAAGTTTTTAGGAAAGGTACATGGACCTAAATGGTTTTATTTAAATGTGTGCTCGCTAAGATCTTGCAATCATATGCCTACGTATTCTCAAAAGGAAGTTGAGAAATCAGAGCATTCGTAGTTCTACCTAACTATGGATGGAATTTGTATCTTATTAAAAGCCCAAGATGATAAAGCTAAAATGGTATTTATGTATTTTGTTCAAAGCCCAAGATGATGAAGCTAAACGGTTTTGTTGGTTTTGAAAGAAAATACAATTGTCATCTTTTAAGGGAGATATCTCACTTATTTATCACAAACATTTGAGAATAATAACATAAGGGAAGAAGCTTTGAACTTGGATGTTAAATAATCCTAAGCAATGCCACATCTTACTTTACTAGTCTTTGCATGCTAAGAGAAAGAACTTAACTTGGATATAGTATCAACAAGTGTGCCACTTACATCACTTAGATGAAAGAAAAGTTTTGGACCGTGATAAGAGAAGGACTCCAGGTTAGATTTTGAATCAACAAGTGTT